GGGGGGGGGGGAATCTGGTTTTTGAACCATTTTTTCCACATTGAATTGAAAAACTCAAATAAAATTTCATTTCGATCAACCAATACATTTTGAATATCGCTAATTGATTTTTTTTGTTTGTTTTTCAGTTGACCAAAATGTTTCAGTTGATTCTAACCACTGCCCCCCCCCCCTTTCCTGAAATCTGAAATCAAAACACTGTTTCGAATTGAAAAGTTGAAAAAAAAATCAAAATGGTCAAAATGAAACTGTCAGATTCCACCCAAATTTTGTAAATTGTTTTGGGCCCCCTTAAATGCATTTTTTGGCAAAAAGAAAAAATAATTTGTAAAAAAAAATGTCACTCAGTTGTAGTTCACATACAAGTGGCCATACAGAGGTATACATGTCCATCTGTGAATGTAATTGTGGCATTATCCTACCATTGCGGCAAGAGCATACACACATCCCTCAAAATCAAGTCTGTAGTGCTGGCAGTGACTAATGTTCCAAGAGCTCAAATGCATAAAGCACCATTCCACTCCTTCATACTATGTTGGGAAGTTCCTGAATCTTTGCCATATGCTGATGGCATCCAAATTCAGCAGGCCTATAAAATTATTGAATAAAATTCAAATGGCATGTGGGTATTTTGTCTCAATGACTGAGTGTGTGTTGTCATTTATACTCACAAGATATTATAAATTAATTAAAAGACCATCTGAAAGCCCTCAGGTAATTTTCAGTGTAGCAATATGGCTGTCCCTGGCACTCTGCAAAGATATTTTAATTTGGAATTTTAATTGTCCCTATTAATTTTACTTCACTAAAATTGAAAAGGAAATATGGCCATGTGCTGTGCTTATTGACACCACTGGACCAATCTACCAAAGTCAGTGGGATGTACAGGGGGTAAGTCCGTGCTGAATCTCACACAAACCCTGTATCTTATTTCTCCCAAAGAATGCCAATTTAGGGCAAAGCAGCAGCACATTTCCAGCAATTGTCACATGCAAAACAAAAGCCATAAAATACAGAGCCACGCATACTGTGTTAGCCATTCATATTCATATTGTTCCATAAGATTCCATGAAAAATGTTAGAGGATGCATTCCTTAAACCAGCAGTTTCTCTGTCTGCACATATATCAGGGGATCTTCTGGAGGTAAAAGGCATCTCTCTGAAGGTCCCTTGTCTCTGCACTGCTGCCCCTCTTTCTCCAACTTCCCTAAGCCCTTGAAGTAAAGCACAGCTCCTGTAGAAGTCATGTTGCCAGGGGCTCTCTCAGCTCTGGCTCCCCCAAGACTAGCATCTCTCAGAGCTATGATTCCACAGTCTTGAAGGTAAAGCAGTGTAAATTATTGGAGACTTTGTCTGCAAGTCTTGTCACTGATTGCTCTGCAGGGTTCTTGGGTTGGGGGTGAGGGATAATGGGGCAATCCTTGGGAGATCTGGAGTTTTTGGCCAACATTTATTTTTCACAGAAACATGTGGATTCAGGTTCATTGAAATATTTTGT